TATTCTTCTATGTTAATCATTTATTGTTTTATATATATATATATATTATATATATTTCCTACTTCATTCTGCATGAGTTCTTCCCGTGTTTCTCAGAATTATTCATCTTCATTGTTTCTTATGATGTAGTAATACTCTTACATTCATGTACTGCATGAATATCTCTTTGATTTCCACTTCTTTGCTGCCACAAAGAGTGCTACTATAGTATTTTAATGTTTTTGGGACTTTTCTATTTGTGTGACTTATTTGGAGTTATGCTGAGCAGGAGCAACTCTGGGTTAAAGAGTGTGGACATTTTAGTCATTTTAAAAATATAATTCCAAATTGCTTTCTAGAATAGTCAGACCAATTCATAGCTCCACTAATGGTCCAGCTCCCTAATTTTTCAGCTTTATTTTAAAATTGTAGAATCTGCTCCTGAACCCTTGAGGCAAATCAGGTAGTACAGCTCCTACACACAACCTTTAGGCTGCAAACTGGTGTTCATTGTAATCATATTTCACCTGAATAAGACATATTTGAGGGATAAGAGAAATAGGAGTAGAAGGGAGAGGAATGAGCACATCTTGTAATTTGTCATAGGAAGTCCACGTTGTCTAAGAGTGGGAGAAGAAGGCAGAGTTGGGGCATCCTTTGTAGTTAAGAGAAGTGGTTTAAAACCATGATGTTGAGTTGAGACAGCTGTCAGGAGGAGGGACGTGATTGAAGCAGCCTTCAGTTGCTGGAAGCAGCATGGGATCTCATTGCTTTGGGCCTTCAGAAAGCCTTCATTTTGCCTCTCCAGATTTCATCTCTGTTGCCACCTCTTACCTGTGGTTTCCCCTTCCTTTTCTCCCAGCTCTGGATTTGGATTCTGATCAATCCCTTTCTGAGACCGTCCTTTTGCCAGTTTATTCTTCAGAAGTGAATCAAAAAACCAATGATGAAGAAGAGAAGCATTTTTTGTGAGTATGCAGAATACAGGAACAGGAAAGTGTTTGGTGTTGACAACCAGTGGCTGGCAGGTTGCCTGGGACCTAGGGAGGGGTGGAAGGATAGAAGGATACAATGGGATAGCTGGGTTTGGGAAAATTTTCATGACTAGATCTGGGCACCAGGATTCAAAGGGAACTGGGACCTGTTTCTCTTTATCATTGACTGCTCTGGGGTCTACTACCCATTTTCTTTTGTATATTTTCTTTTCAGGGTCCAGGACAGTTCCTCTTCCCCTTCTCCCCCTCCCAGGCGACGTGGGCCTTGCAGGAAACCACCAAGAGCCTTTGGAAAGATAAGGTGAAGTTTGGGATGGCAGCTGTTTTGGAGGACCTGTTGAGAGTCACTGAATTGAGAGTAGTTGGTGCTTCATGAGTGGGTGGGTGAGTCCTTGCCCTCTTTTTCTGACCCTACAGGGAGGTGAATAAGCGCTTGCAAGGTCTCCGATCTTACCTGAGCCCCCTGTCACCCAAAGGCCATGTTTCTGAGAACTCCGAAGATGAAGTGATCTTGGTGGAGGAGAACAATGTTAGGGAGAGCCCCCGACTCTTAACTCTTAAAGTGAGGTGCCGGGCTGACCTTGTCAGATTGCCTCTCAGCACGGTGAGAACTTGGGAACAATTATAATGGGCTAATTTGGGGAAACAGGGTGGAGTAGCGGGCCTGATTTCCTTGGTCCTCAGTTCGGGGACAGGAAGGTTGGTCGTTAGTTCTGAATTCTGGGTGCATTGTGAGGTTGGGCATGAATGAATTCCCTATACTTTCCTCTTTTTTTTCCAGGCCGAGCCCTTGCAGGTCGTTGTGGATCACATGGCATCTCGCCTAGGAGTGTCCCCTGCCCGAATTCTTCTGCTGTTCCGAGAAGTAGAGCTTTCCCCAAGTGCCACCCTCAGCTCTCTAAAGATTGGAGTGGCTGACATCATTGGTGAGTGCAGGTGGCTGTGGGGCTGAGTCATGGTAAAGCATGAAAGCCTGTGGAAAGCCCAAGCTGCCTGCTAAGTCCCTTTACTTCCTTCCCTCTCCCTTACAAGATTGTGTGGTCCTGTCCAGTACTCCTGAGCCTTCAAAAGAGTCAGAATCGGGTGAGGAACTTCGGCTCAGGGTTCAGGGGCAAGAGAAACACCAGGTTCTGGAGGTCACTGTGCCCCGGGTAAGTGAGGAATGGAGCCCGGGGGATGGAAATCTTCCTTCCCATCCACTCAGCATCCTTATTGACAACTACTACTCTGAGACTGAATCCTTTCTGATAAAGACACCCAGAGACTGTCTCCTGGGTCCTTTTTACTTTGTCCTTTTCAACTTCAATTTTGTTTTAAAAAGAGAAAAGGAAGAATCTTTCTGTGGCTGATAATCTTGCCTTCCTCTCTTCTGCCTTCAGGGCCCTCTACTTTACCTAATCATAGAAGGTTGAAACTGGAAGAAAGCTTAGAGGTTAGCTAATTTAACCCTCTTTTTAAAAAAGCCTGTGTGTGTTGGGTTCTTTATTCTGATCTTTTGGTCTATTTTTTTTTTCCAGTCCCAGTTTTGTAAGTTACTGCTTTACAGTTGGAGATCTGGTAGTGCTAATTTCCTGTCATCAGTTTTCTTTATTGTAATTTTAGATATTCTTAATCTGTTGGTTCTACCATATAAATTTTGTTCTGATGATATAATCTATGAAATAACCTAGAGGTATTTTGATTAGTATTATATTAAATCTATCTGCTAATTTGGGAACTTGTGCTATATTTGCTCCACCTAACCATTTTCCATAAAAATTACTTTGGGGGTTGTCTTTGTATCTGTCTCTTGTATACTGAGATAAGTTAATGCACAGATATTTGATATGCTTTTTATTTAATTAACATTTCTCTTAAAATAAATTTTATTCTGGGTTGTAGTTAATGTCCTTCATTACAGAGGAGGAAACTGAGGCCCAGAGAGAGAAAGTATGTTGTAGAAGACCTCCTTCATATGTCGATGACATTGTTAGTCCACTCCCACCAAAAATTCTTTATCACCTCTCTATCCAAATCCCCACAATCCTTCCTTTCTGGCTTATGACCCTTTCTTCCTTTAGGGTGCTCCTCTTAAAACACTGATGTCTCACTATGCAGAGGCCATGGGACTCAAAGGACATAAGCTCTCTTTCTTTTTTGATGGTGAGAAGCTTTCTGGCCAAGGGACCCCAGCAGAGTTAGGCATGGAACAAGAGGACCTCATTGAGGTTAGGGGTTGAAGTGTGATGTTCTGCCTTCTGCCTCCTCCCCTGCCTTCAGACCGCGAGATGTGAAGCTGGGGCTCCTCAAAAATCTAAGGAGAATGCCTGCCCTTCTCACCTTCCTTCTCTGTCTTCTTTCCCCTCTTCCGGTTGCCCTAAAGCTAGATCTGAGAAAGACCTTCCCTTCCCCCCCTTTTCCCTTGTCCAAATTTACCACTCACCCTTCTTTCATGGGTGTCCTGGGGGTGATGCTGCTGCTCTAGCATTTTCCGTCAGTTTCTATGAGTGCATCCTAGTCCTCTTCTGCTAGCTGAAGGATTTGGGTCCCATTTACCCTGTATATATGTAAATGTGTCCTTTGATCTCTGTCTCCTAACACTAATTCTTTTGGATTGGGTGTGAAGATGTATTGCAGACCCCTTATTTCCAAATATCTTTCCATGAGACCAGTCATTTTTGTAACTGGAGTTAAAATAAAATGAATGATGTAGTTTGGATTCTGGGTTTGAACTCGAATTCCTCCAAGGTTTTTGCCTCATTGGTGGGATGGGGGATGGGGAGAGTCAAAGCCTTGGTTTGGTCACTTGGTTAGGTCTTGGGTTTAATGACATTTAGGGGCAGGCAAGGAGAGCATTCAAGTTCCAGGTGGTTCATTACTCTGGATGGAGTTGAGTTGGCTTGCTGAATGCAGTCTTTTGGTGGTAGGAGGGTCATCTTGTTGCTTATGACACCTCTCTCACCCCTACCTCCTGACTTCCTAGCACACCTCACACCTCTTTTCAGTATTGGGCTGGGCACTGGTGGTGATCAGGGGAGAGGAATGGGAAGATTAAAGAAGACATGGTTCGTGGCCTCATAAAGCTCAGAATTTAGTGGGGAGTGAAACATTCTCTTTAATCAATATTCCAACAACTATGGTTTTATTGGTTTGGGTACAGTTCCACAATGTACAGTTCCTGAGATTTAAAAGATCATCTGGAATTACTGTGACTGAAAACTTCATCAACCTATAGCCAGCCCAAGGATGAGCCTTTCTTAGCTAGATGGGTCAGTCTTCGGTCAACCATTAGTGGCTGGGCCCTTAATTAAAGCCTTTCTAGCTTTGTAGGACCTGCCAGAAGCTTGTTCGATGCTGCCAAAGAGAAACCTAGAGAAACTAGTTACTCCCTGAGGCATCAGAGTAGGATTTTGCTGTATCATATCAGCATAAATAACTACAATACAAATTATATGTAGTAACTACACAAGATAGATGAAAACTAAGTTGTTTGTCAAGTACTTGGCAAGGGGTGGTTTACCATTGCCCGGGACCATCAAAGAATAATCATGGTAGCATTTGGCATTTTATTCGGGCTTTAAAAGATGGGTAACATTTCACCCGGTGGGGGTGAAGGGGACACTTGTGGGCGCAGGGATTGTTGGGAGCTAAAGCAGGGAGGCCACAAGAATTAGAAGGGTTGTGACCTTTCCCCAACTCCTTCCCCACGTGGTTTTCCCTGCGGCCGCGGGGGCCGCCCGTGAGCCCGACAGCGGAAACTGCTGTGCCAAGTTCGGCGCCTCCAGGGTGTGGGATGGGACCCATCATCTCACAGCCTCTGCATCCGATGCCCCTCGTGTTAGAAAAGGGTACTGGGCGGCCGCCCCCGGCAGCGTCTATCGGACCTTACGAGCTTAGATCGAGAGCTGGAGGGGACTTTGAGGCCACCGGGGCAACGTTTCCGGAGACCGAGGGACCCGTCCGGTGTCAAGCGTGTATTAGGCCTATCCTGGAGCCTGAAGAGAGCCACAGCATCCCAGCTCGCTGCTCCTCGGGTCCCGGAGCCGCCGCCATCTGGCTCTGGCGGGAGGTGGAGACCTCGGGATAGGTTTTGAGGAAGGTTGGAGACCAGTCCCCTTATTGTCATAGTAACGTGTAACTTGCCCCATCACGTGTTCAGGGCACGATCCTGTCATGTGACTCCCGATCTGGTTCGCCGGCTCGCCCACGCCCCCGGGTCACATGACCTTCGCGCAGCTATCATGGCGGTGACCGCGGTGCCGTTTGGTGCCTGAGCACTCCAGGGTAGCAGCGGCTGCAGAGCCGGTGGGCGCCGGGAATCGTGCACTATTTAGGGTAAGAGGAGCTCCCTGGACCAAAGGAAAAGGTGGCTTGGAGCGCCCCTGCCCCGTGGGCTGGGGTGGGTCACGGAGCCGTATTCCCCGCCCCTTTCCTCCCCCTGTAAACTTGGCTTCCTTGGGTTCCTCCTTCCTGCTCGGACCCCTCTTTCCTGCTCTCTCGGTATCTGGGTTTTGGTGCGCACATGCCTGCACCCCCAGCACTAGCCCCTCCTGTGGCACCGGGCTCGCCTTCTCTGCTTCCCTGGCGGGGGTCGCAGTAACCACGTGGATATGTTTTGTGTGTACCTTCCCAGGTCAGGTGGGAGGGGCCCAGGAGGCCGAAGGCCGGACCGCGGTGGAGGCCAGGCCTTGCAGATGGGGCGGGGACCAGACTCTAATAGTGTGAATTCTTTGAGTTTCTTATTTTTTCACTTGTAAGATGGGCATAATGATACCACCTCTTGCGGTTGTGAGGATCAACTGAAAACACTTATAAAACAAGCCCTTTGAATGTAAACAGGCATTTTCCTTGGGTCTTTTTCACTCCCATTCGGGACGATATATGTCATTTTTCTTGTGAAGGCCCGTTAAGAGTTGTGAGCTAAGAATCAGGGAATCAGGGTTCTAGCCCTTGTGCCTTGATTTGTCTTCTTTATAACATTAGGCAAGTCACTCATTGTCTTTGGGTCTCAGTATCTTTCTTTGTAAAAATCACAGTATCAACAATTGAGAGCCAATAGAGACTTTAAAAAGGAGCTAGATTTAATTTCCAAGGCACTTTTAAATTCCTACTTTGTATCTTCTTCATGGTGAATGTATATTCCTCTTTCCTCCAGGTTAAATTGTCTGGGTCTGAAAGTGTAAGGGACAAGTAACCACGGAGAGAACTGGCTGAGGGGCAGCTATGCCTGGGCTGCTGGGTCAGTCAGACACAGCCCCATTTCTCAGCCAAGCAGATGATACAGAAGAAGGAGTGGGGGGCCCAACCCCTGGCGCTGGCAAGACTGCAAGTTTGGGGGGTTCAGAGCCACAGGATAGAGAAGACCCAGATGGGGAAGGGCTACAACTGATAACAGGCGTCTCCCCTCGACATGCAACTTTGATTGTGGGTGTACTTTGTTATATCAACCTTCTTAACTACATGGACCGTTTTACTGTGGCAGGTAATTAATTTGGAAGGACTTTTGTATCAACATTTTGAAGGTAGTAGTTGTTTGTTTAGTCATTTTTTCAGTCGTGTCTGATTCTTCATGATCCCATTTTGGGATTTTCTTTGCAAAAATGCTGAAGTGCTTTGCCATTTAGTTCTCCAGCTCATTTTACAAATGAGGAACTGAGACAAACAGGGTTTAAATGACTTAACCCAGGGTCACACAGCTAGTAAGTGTTTGAGGCCCGATTTGAACTCAGGAAGATGAGTCTTCCTGACTTAAGGTCAGGCACTTTATCCACTGTGTCACCTAACTGCCCATCCTTGAAGGCAGAGACTATTTAATTTGTGGTTTTGTATTTTGAACACTTTGCACATAATGGTGCTTAATAAATATTGAATTGAATTTTGAGGCAACCAAGAAAAGACCAGAGGCTTTTGGAGGTGATTCCATTGCTGGTAAAAAGAGGAAGATAAGCTTGATTCGAAAGATAGTTTCCTTTCCTCACCACCTTCCCTTCCACTGAACTGTTTTTCAGGCGTTCTTCCAGACATTGAGCAGTTCTTTGGTATTGGTGACAGCAGCTCCGGCCTCATCCAGACTGGTGAGTAGGGTTCTGTCTCTGGGATAAGCTGCTTTCAGTGTGAAGAGGAATGTCCTGGAGTCTGAGAAATTTTTTTCCCCTCTGTGCCTCTTCAGGGTTATGGGTCTTTGGGTGGGGAGACAGGGCATTCTGATGGGAGGGTTTAATCCTTCTGTCTCTTCTCCAGTGTTTATTTCCAGTTACATGGTGCTGGCCCCTGTATTTGGCTACCTGGGTGACAGATATAACAGGAAGTACCTCATGTGTGGTGGCATTGCCTTCTGGTCACTGGTGACTCTGGGTTCTTCATTCATCCCTAGAGAGGTGAATAAGCGTCCCGTGGTTCTGGCCCCACTCTCAAAGTGCATTTACTGGTGATCTGTTGTGGGACACAACTACAACAAACTCATATGTTATTTAAGTAGCTTTGTTTTTGTCTCTGTTTGCTCTTTTACCTGAGAACATCCTGGTTATAGGGGCATTCATTCCCTCCCACCCTTAACCTCTGTTTTGTTTTGTTTTGGTTCAGTTCCACTGCCCACACCATTAATGTAGGCCTTCCCCGAGGCTTTGTCCTTGACTCTCTTTTCTTCTCTCTGTGTTCTCTCCCCTAGAGAGCTGAACTACTTAGGTGGTTTCAGTGATCATTTCTTTGTAGATAACTTCCTAAGTCAGCACTTCAGGTAGATGTGGTTCGTTTTGTTTTGCCGAGAAGCTTGGAGAGACTGGGAGGTCAGTAAAGGGCCTGTGAAACTCTCTGAGGTGGAGAATGTCCATTTTTTTTTAAAAATTCTTTTTCTAGAGATTTTGGCTGCTGCTCTTTACACGGGGCCTGGTAGGGGTTGGGGAAGCCAGTTATTCTACCATTGCCCCCACCCTCATTGCCGACCTCTTTGTAGCTGATCAGCGGAGTCGAATGCTTAGTGTCTTCTACTTTGCCATCCCTGTGGGCAGGTGAGATCATGGGGGAGAGGGAGTAGGAGGAACTCGGGCTCTGTCTTCAGGCTGGGAGAAGGGCTTTCTGGCCTGGAGAATGAGAGACAGAAAACCAGTCTGGGAGGAGGCACCAGCCTCATCTGGGGAGAGGAGAAGCTTTTGTTAGAGGCACGTCCTCTAACCTGAATCCCATAATCATTTTTCCAGTGGTCTGGGTTATATCGCAGGATCAAAAGTGAAGGATGTGGCTGGCGATTGGCACTGGGCACTCAGGGTGAGTCTTCCATGAGGGATGGAGAGGGTGTACAGATCATCCTTCTTGAGCCTCTTACTCACTTTTGACCCTCTTCCAAATAGGATGTGTGTATGCATATGTGTGTGTGCATGCGTGCGTGCGTCTGTGTGTGTGTTTTGTGTTCTCTAGCCTCCAATTGTTCCTGAGGTTAAGGGGACTGTTCTCTCTCCTTAGGTCACCCCAGGCCTTGGGATGATAGCAGTGTTGCTGCTGTTTCTGGTGGTGAGGGAACCGCCTCGTGGAGCTGTGGAACGCCATTCAGACACCCCTCCCTTGAGCCCTACCTCTTGGTGGGCAGATGTTCGGGCTCTGGCTCGGAAGTGAGTCCGAAAATCTTTTGTATAACCCTTGACTCATACCCTTGGACTTCTTTAGTCCTTTAAGGAGGATCAGTTACATTTCTTGTAAAATGAAGTGGGAGTTCATCCTGTGTGGAGTTTGACTCTGAGCTGTAGGAAGCATGAGCCATAAAACCTTAACACCCTCCTCCAAATAGTGACTGGATAACTAAATTGCAGTCCAGGTATTGGGGCGGGGAGGGGGGGGAGGGGGGATTAACAACTTCATTTTATGTCTCCTTGCTTTATAAGTATAAATGTCACTTGCACCAAATGGTCTCCTGCCAACTTTTACCATCCTTTCCTTCTCTCTCACTCCCCTAAATTAACTTTTGCCCTTGCCCTTAGTGTTGTTGCGGGATAGGAGATGACTGTTCTGAATTCTGACCTTCACCCTTCTGCTACAGTCCCAGTTTTGTGCTCTCTTCCTTGGGATTCACGGCTGTGGCCTTTGTCACGGGGTCCCTGGCACTGTGGGCACCAGCATTCCTGCTCCGTGCTCGGGTAGTTTTAGGAGAGACCCCACCTTGCCTCCCTGGAGATTCCTGCTCCTCTTCAGACAGGTACTGGGAAGGGTTCTTGGAGTGGGAAGGGGTTATGGAAAGGGGCTCTGAGTTCATATTTTTCCTCAGTGGGTCAGCAACTAGTCAGGATAGATGGTCCTTCTTCCTTCCCCTGTAAAACTCTTTGTGGGCTGATATGTGTGTGGCAGCTGGGTAAAAAGGGACAAGAAGGAGTAGGTGTCAGATTCGGACATCCAGTCACAGTGGCCAAAGAAGGAGGTATTTAGGGACAAGCTATTGCAGGTCTTTGAGCCCAGGGAGCCAGATCAGAAATCCAGCTGGGGTTTTGAGAACATTGAAGGTTTAGAAAGTATGAGGCCACTGTGAGAGAGTGGAAGGAAACATGGATTTGGAACAAACGAGTTCCAAAATATCTTTTCAGATATTTTTCATGGGACCTTTGGCCAGTCACTTTTTCTAGCCTGAGTGTCCTCCTCTAGAGAATGAAAATGGACTGCCCATTTCACAGGGTCAGGCTCTAAGGCCCTATAGAAATGACATTTGTTAGTGAAAGATAAAAGTCCTGGAGCCAAAAGCCAGGGGCCCCCCGGGCTGGGTCCAGGGAGGAGCCAGTTTCCAGAAGCTGGTACAGGCCAGGGTAGAGCCCAGTTCTGCTAGGAGGAGAAGGATACTGAACTTTGTAAAGCAGGGAGAGACCTTTTACACAAACATGGTGGGTCTTGGACCCCTTGCTCCCCTCAGTCTTCCTTTTATTTTTCTCCTTCCCAGTCTCATCTTTGGGCTGATCACCTGTGTGACTGGGATTCTGGGTGTGGCCTCTGGGGTAGAGATCAGCCGCCGTCTTCGCCACACCAACCCCAGGGCTGACCCCTTGGTCTGTGCAGCTGGATTACTGGGATCTGCCCCCTTTCTGTTCCTGGCCCTGGCTTGTGCTCAGGGCAGCATTGTAGTTACCTATGTGAGTATCCTCAATTTTTTCCCATTTCCAGATGTCACCCAACCACCAACATACAGGAGCACAGACACAGCCCTCCCAGCAGCAGCCCTGAGCTTGGACCGAGGAGCGGGAGCAGTGGGGGAGGGAAGGGGGAAGCAAAACTCATAGTCCCCAGCTTCAATCTCACACCTCCCCACATGGCTCAAGAAAAAGTAGAGGGAAGGGCAGAGAGCTGCTAATCTTTTCCCTGATGCCCAGTTTCTGTCCTCAGGTTTTCATCTTCATTGGAGAGATTCTGCTGTCCATGAACTGGGCCATTGTGGCAGACATTCTCCTGGTGAGAGGGTGGGCCGTGTCTGACCTGACACAGGTGGTGACTGTCCTAGTGATTAGCACTTTGGCTGTGAGGTCTCTGGGAGGCTTTTGTTCCCCTGGGTCAGTGGCTTTGTTCCGTCTTGTTGTAAGAAACTGACCCATGACCGGATCTTGCTCCCCTATGTGGGTGACCCAGAACTCAAAGCTCCTGGTGAGTCAGGAATTTCACTTGTCATGTGAGAAGAGCAGCCTTTCTCTTCTGTCTCCCTCCGTGTAGTTTGAGCTGAGCAGCTTAATTCAGAAAATGTTGATGGAATTCCAAACTTAGCCCCCCTCTGTCCTGGCCTTTCTACTCACCTCTCCTGACCTCTTGGGGAGTCTAACTTTGGGTCTCAATTCCCTACCTAGTATGTGGTTATTCCCACACGCCGGTCAACAGCAGAGGCCTTCCAGATTGTCCTGTCCCATCTGTTGGGGGATGCTGGGAGCCCCTACCTCATTGGGCTGGTGAGTGTGAATCTTCTTTTGGGAGGTGTTAGCCCTGGGTGGGTCATCCTGGCCCAGGGCAGGTTAAAAAGCAGTGGGGATAGGTAGAGAGAGATTTTTTGTCAGCCCGGAGGGTCCGTCTGATTTCAGCCGCCACTGACATATCCATTGCTGTCCTCTGAGGGGTGAAGAGCTGTCCTGCAGAAGGGAGGTTACACTTGCTCTTCTTATCTCAGGGAGGCACGTTTTTGGCTTGGTGAAAGAAAAAGCTTCCAGAAAATGGAATGGGCTGCATTGTAAGGTGGTGAGCTACTCATTCTTGGGCTTCTTTGAGGGAAGGCTGGATGACTACTTGTTAGGAAAGTTTTTGGGTGGGGTCGTGTAATCTAGGGTGTTCAAGTCTTCTCTGCATGGTTGCTGAGGCCCTTTCCAATTCTGGTCCTGGGTCTGGAGCTTTTGTAGGGAGACAAGACTAACATCAAACTAGAGAACAGTTCAAGGCAGCATTTGAACAGATGTGGGATAGTGAAGTGCAAACAATGCAGATAATCTGAGTGATCTTGAACTCTGTGTCCCTTCCCCACCTGACTCTCTGTCTCCTCCTCAATCTGACTGCCTGTCCCTTCCCCTGTCTCTCTCTGTGTTCCTCCCCGCTTCCCATCCTGCCCTCATCTCTATCTCTGACCCATCTCCGTTCACCTTTGTCCTGCTTCTCCTTATCTCTGACTCCCTTCATCCCCCTTTAGCAAATGAAGTTGTCTCAGCCCCCTGGGCCTCCCCCCACCCAGGCTATGACCACAGCTTGCTCTCTCTTCTCCCCTCTAGATATCCGACCGTCTCCGCCGTGACTGGCCTCCTTCCTTCCTCTCCCAGTTCCGGGCCCTGCAGTTCTCCCTCATGCTTTGTGCCTTTGTCGGGGCGCTTGGGGGTGCAGCTTTCCTGGGCACCGCTATGTACATTGAAGGTGATCGAAAGAGAGCCCAGCTCCATGTGCAAGGTGAGCATTCCCTGTTGGAGGCCTTGTTCCAGGGCGCCTCGTCCCCATCCCCAGCTCTCCTTCCTCCAGATCCTTGTCTTCCATACTCTCTCCGTCCCCTAGCTTCTGTCCATGGTCCATCTCCCTAACCCCCTTACCCTACCTGTCTTTCTGCCCCTTTGTCCCTTCCTAGCCCTCCCTTCCACAGGGGTGCCTGCCTCCCCTCCCTGTAGGCTCGTGCATGTCTCCTGTCCTCTGCTCTGCTCTGAGATGTTTATCTTCCCCTGATCTCATCACTTCTTCTCTCTCCCCAGGACTCCTGAGGGATGCGCCCCCTCCAGATGATCGAATTGTGGTCCCTCAGCGAGGCCGTTCTACCAAGGTCCCGGTGTCCAGTGTGCTCATCTGATTGGGTGGACTATGGCCTGAGGCTACCTCGTGTTCTGGTTCCCCTCGTGGGATAGGTGGGCAGTGGGCAGGACTGAGTGTAACCCCAGCACCCTGGACTGTTAAACCATCTCTATGCCAGGTGTGGTACCATGACTTCTGACCTGGGACCATAGGAATGGGACAGTGGCTGAGGTTTGTCCCTTTTTCCTTCCCTGAACACACACGCACATAGAAGCACTACATGCATAGCAATATTGATCAGGGAATGATTCTGGATCAGGGAGGGGGCAGGTGGTTGGAAGGCCACGGAGCGAGCGCCCTCAACTTTCTGCAGGTCTGTTTAGGGAGGGAAGATCTCTTTTCCCTCTGCCTCTGTTAGGCTATAGTTGGGTTCCAAGCCGCCTTCCTGGGGTCAGGGGCAAGGTGCCCCCACTGTCCAGGCAGGAGGGTTTGGTGCTATTTTTATCTGAATAAACTTTGTAACCAGAGCCTAGTGTCAGCTTGTGTCCTTTTCCTTCCCAGCTCCGTGACTCGAGAGAGAAGGGGAGGAGCCCTGTGGGGTGGCAGGCAGATTCTGTCTTTGCTCAGGGTTCTCTGTATGTTAGCGTTAGAACTTGAGGTAGTCTGTTTTAGGAGCCCTTCCTGCTCAAGCAGTCTAGAGTATGTGCTTTGAGGGCCCTTCCTGCTCCGGCAGTCTGTGATTCCGTTGGTCCAATGTGACATTGACTCACCCACTGTCTTTTCCTAATAGACCCTTTAGAAGCTTGTCCTCATGCTAGCTGGCAGGCAGTCCAGCTGTTAGGGATGATAAGATAGTAGTTATCCTGTTCCTCTGCCCCCTGGATGATAGACAGAATGTCAGAGATCCTTTGTCCAACCCACTCTTTATAAAGATGCACATTGAGTCTGAGAGAGGTCAAAGTTCTCTTCTCTTCTTTCTCCCCATCCTCTCTGCTCCCCATTAGTGTATTGTCTCTTGCATGAGCAAGACCCCATTTGGAGAACTGGTGGCCCCTGACAATCTGTGGTGCTAACCCTGATCATCCAGAAGGACCCTTTGAGAACAGCTGGGAATTCTTGATTTCTAAGGCCCCTGGGAGACCATCCCAAGTAGAAATGCTGGACTGGAGCAATGGGGGAGACCTGGGGTGCTCCCCTCCCCATGGGGGGCAGAAGGTTGGGGGTGGGAGGCGGGCGCAGCCATGCGAGGAGCCACGATAACTTCCTGTCCCCGCCCGGAGCTCACCACAGCTTCCTGCTGCGGGCGGGCAGGCGCTGAGTGTAGGAGAAGAGGGGATCGGGGAACAGAACCGTCAGGACCAGGGACCAGGTACGGGGACGTGGCGGGAGTGGAGGGGGTTTCTGATGCCCAAACAGGACCCCCCCAGCCAATCTGCCTGGCTCCCAGCAGGCTAGTAAGGCTCAGCAGAGACCATGGTAAACCTAAGCTTGTCTTCTATACCCACCCTAATCTTATGAGTGCTTGAGAGAGAGAGAGCCTCATACTTGGCCCTTATTGCCTATATCAGCTTCTCTTGGTACCAGCCTGAGCCCCTCCGATACAGAGAGACAGCCGACTGAGCCCACTGCCTCCCTTTGATACCACACTCTGAATACCTGGGTTCCAGTGCCTTAAGTCTGTAGCCTCTGGGCTCTTCTGGCCTCCATCCCTTACATGGGCTTCTCTTTTGTGACACCATTACCTGCTGAGGGCTTAGATGTTCTCTACCCTCAAACCTTTTAACTTCCCCTTTTTCTCCACCCATTATCTTGGGAGGAAAGTTTGGGATCCGAGTATAGAATTCTTGCTCCATCCAGTCAAGTGGGAAGGGGAATAGGTGGGGGTGGGGTCTGGCTGGAAGGCTTTCTGGGACTGGCCTTCCAGGCTGCCCTAACCTGTGGGCCTTGGCCTGTGCCCCAGATGGAGACCACCTCTCTGGGCCCTAGCCTCCTCTGGCTCCTCATTCTACTGTTCCCAGCCCTGCTTGTCACTGCCCTGTGTTTGTGTTGCCGGGACCTCCCTGGTAAGTGAAATACTTTCAGCTCATTTCTAGCTTGAAGGCCCCTAGACCCAGTCAACCCCATAAACCATCCCTTTGCCTCACACAAAGGGTCCTGTGTTCCCATATAAACAAGTTCATCTGCTGTTCCTCCTATGGGCTCACCTCTCCTTGTTCCTTGCCCTCGCCTAAAGGAACGCCTGTTCTTGTCCCACCCCTTCAGCCTCACCTGCCTCCTCCCCCACAGGCCCCAACTCTGAGGTCCCCCCCAAGTGACGGGTGAGTGTCTGTGACTATTCCTCATTCCCAAATGGTGACTGTGATGGACCAGTATTGGAAGGAGGGGAGTTAGCTGAGGAGGGGCTGGTTGGTGAGAGGATGTTGGGGTGGTGGCTGGAGATGGGTATGGAAGTATGGGGCCTCCTCTTCTACCACCCCCAGCCCATGCCTTCCTTCTTTTCACCAGCTCATATCAGCCAGGCAGCGGATTAGTCATCCTCAAACGCCCCTGTGAGTATGGCAGGAGGTCTCTATACATTATATACTTCCCTGGGACTGCTTTGAGGAATAAGGGAATGAAGTCTTGGGGGAGTGTCACTGTGAGTGAGTCTGTGTGTCAGTGTGTGAGAATTTGAAAGATATGGCTTTTGTTATGTGTCTGTACTGTATTTGTTAGGGATTCATTCCCAATCTCCTGCCCTTGGAATGTCTACCACAACCTTTGACCCACAGCATCGTTGAATTTAGAGCTGGAAGATGTCTCAGAGATTATCGAGTCTGACCTCATTTTACAGATGATAAAACTGAGGCACTAGTTTGGGGGTTGGGAGGATGGGACCCCCGAGGTAGGGGATAAATTGCCCAAGGTCACAGAGCTGAGCCCAGTTCTTTGTCCCTCCTCTAAGCCCAGCTCCAAAGTAAAGTGACCCTTTAAGACTGAGGTTCTTTACTTTTTTTGTGCTGTGGACCCATGGCCCTTCAGTTAGAGCATATGGACCCCTTCCCAGAACAATAGTTAGTTGCCTACATCCATAATCTAAGGAGATGCTCAATTTCAGTTATAGGTTAGTGAAGATAAAGATGTAACTTTTTCATCCAAGTTCACAGATCCCCTGAAATGTATCCACAGACCCCATGTTAAGAACCTTTGCTTTGAGACTCATTATGATTAGACTCCTTAGACCATTGGGATCTTCAGTCTCCTAAAAGGATTATTTTTCATTTTTGTATTTCTTCCCTCCCCAGCCTGTGCAGGCAGAGTGGACTGCTTAATGAATTCAGTTCGTTGAATTGAATTAGCCAATCACAAACCATTTAGTTCATTTCAATAAGCATTTAATCAAGTGCCTATTCTTTGTGGTGGGAGCCATCTTCAGTCCTGATCTATATCGCTACTGGACCCAGATGGCTCCGGAAGAGAAAGTGAGGCTGGTAACTTTTGTACAGTCCTCCTTCACTTAAATCCAATTCACTTGCAAGTCATGGCATCACCTTCCTGATGTCATGGTCCTCTTCAAGAACGAAGGACAAATAACAACCTGTGAGTAATCTGAGCTGCCCCAACCCAACTGGCCAGTTCCAGTTGGGCAGCGCAGATCCTTCCTTCCTTCTCCTTCCTTCTCCTTCCTTCTTTCCTTCCTTGTTTCCTTCCTTCCTGTCTTCCCCTTGCCTTCCCTCCTTCCTGTTCCCTCTGTCCCACATAGGGTATCATAACCTTACCTGTGGGTGCTTTGACCAAAGGAATATAAAATTTTTATGGCTGAAACCTAACAAAAGATATCTTGGGGTTTATGGGCTAGATTTCTTTCTTAAAGACCAAGCCTTAAACCAAATTCACTCTAGCTCTCATTGATTGACCAATAGGTCCCAGCCCAAAGCTCTGCTTAGTGGTCATTGTTTGGGCCATGATGGTTCAGACTGAATGTAAATAGTAATTGTTTCTCTTTTGGTCAGGAACCCTGAGTCTTCCCCTCCCGGATTGATTTTTTTTACCTTAGGTAAAAGGGACCATTCCTTGGCTCGTTTCTTACCCTGCCTTAATCACTCAATGGGCCTTGTCAGTCAAAATGATAACTTGGAAAGACCTTAGCTTAAAAAGGCCAAGGTCTCCACTGCATCTGGGACCATCTCCAGTCGTCCTGATCTATATCTTGCCACTGGACCCTGATGGCTCTAGAGGAGAAAGTGAGGCTGGTAACTTTGCACAGCTCTCTTTCACTCAAATCCAATTCACTTGCAAGTCATGTCATCATCTTCCTGATGATCATGGTCCTCTTCGAGAACAAAGGATAAACAACAACTCTGTGGTAGGCCTCTGTGTTAGATGTAAAAAGACAAAAAAGATAGTCCTTGCTTACAAGGAGCTTATGTTCTCCTGGGCAGGAGGTGGGCACTATATGTTCACAGATAAATAAATGCAAAGTAATTTAGGGAGAGGTGAGTATTAACGACCCAGGAGGGTAAGGAAAGCCTTCTTGTAGGAGATGGGTACATGAGTGGAGTCTTGAAGAGAGTCAGGTCCTAAGAGGCCATTGTTTTTTTAGTGACTCATGCAATACTTCCCCCATGTGTGGCCCATACCTCCTCCTTTATTGGTTTGGGAAAAGGAATAGGGAGACATGGAGAAATAGGGCCCCTACAGGTCAGACAGGATTGAGAAATTTGGGAGATGACAGATTATAAGTTTTACAGCTCTTCACGTGCTTTGTGCTCTTGCTAACAGTGTTTTTTGACGTATTTGTTTTATCTGGTTTGTTTTTTTTTAACTTTAGCGGTATTGTGTGCCGTTGAGTTTCCATTGGGTGGATTGAGGGGAGGGGAAAATTTCCTTGCTAAGGCCAGGAGAGCTAGAGAATTTCACATACCCCAGGGAGGACTTTGACAAGAACTACTAAATGGCGACATCTGGAGAGACCACGTGAAGATATCTCTTGACTTGGAGTCGGAAGGACAGGGTTTGAAAGCTTACCCTGTGTTACCTATTAGCTGTATGGACCTTGGACAGGCCCTTCTCTGTAAAGTGAGGAAATTAAGCCAAACTTGAACTCTGAGGTCTCTTTTACAGCTTTAAATTTTGTGATCCTATGCTGTAGATGTGAAGGGCTTTTAGAAGTGATTGCATGTAATAATATTATTTTTAAAATATTAAGAATATTATTTATCATATAAAATAATAAGTAAAAAATTGAAATATTAAAAATATTTTTTCTGAAAGAAACAAAAGAACCTTCCCTTATGTGTCTTTTCTAATAATGTGCCCTATCCCTGAAATATCCTCCCTTCCTCTCTTCACCTACTGTATTCCTGCCCATCTTTTTTTAAGTCCCCACCCCTATACCTGGGAAGTTAACACCCCCCCCAGTTAATAACTTTCTCCATCTGACCTCCATTCCCATTGTTTTGCCAGCTCTCTGATATACTACTCACATAATATTGTGAATGCTAGCAATCTGCTTTTGTGTCTTCTCCCTTACTGGATTCTAGATTCCATGACAGGACCATGGGGCCATATCTTTGCTAAACTTTGTATCTCCTATGGTGCTTTTAGCTCAGTGTTCTGCATGTTCTAGATGCAGGAGGCGTTTCATTAATGTTTGCTGAATGAATAATGAACTCGTCTAAGAGACCCCTCAGTCCCCAATCCTCTTGAACCTTGAATTTCTTGAAGAAAATGTCCTTCTAGGCGTTAAGGGCCATTACCCTGGGTAGATCTCAAGCTGTCCTCTACCTCTCCTTGGGGCTCTCAGCCCTGACCTGATTCCTTCCCCCTACCCCAGGTCCTCTGATGCTGTGTACCTCTAATCTTTACCCCACAGACACTAATACTTCGTGGCCATCTACAGTATCCTGCCAGCCAGATCTGCTCCCTATCCCGTAAGTATCTGCTCAGGTTTCCTCTCTGGTGTCCCCTGAGCCTCGGGCCCCTCTTTTCCAGCCACCCCAGTCTAACCTGAAGTCTATCGCCTCTGCCTTCTTGCCCTCGGGCCTTCTCTGAATCCTGGGATATCTATATCACTGCCCTCAGTCTTCTGCCTTTCTACCTTCCTGCCTCCCCTGGGCCAAGGCATCACTACTGCCCCCATTCCTCTAGGCTCTCAAAGCTCCCTCCCTTCCCCAGGTGGTGACCCCTAATTTTTAACCCTTTAGGAGATCTCCACAACATCCAGGGTTGTCAAACCGGATTACTTCTCGGAGAGACGCAGACACCCGTGAGTTGGACAATGAACTAGTTATGGAGGGTGGTTCTGTAGCCTGAAGTGGGTGGGAGAGTGATCCTGGCTCAGGCTGGGTGGTTGAGCTGATGGTGACTCTCTCTTTCCTTCCCAGGCAGTGAGCCCAGCTACGAGAATGAGGGTATATCAGTCACCACTGGCAGTGGGGGGTTGGGCTGGGACCTTGGGGAGAGGGAGGAAGGAAGGAATGGGCCTGACTGGACAGGCCTCCCCAGACCACCTACTCTGATACCTGTGTTTCCCCTGGAGCTAGAACCTGAGGATGCCGATGAAGAAGATGACTACCATAATGAAGGCTATCTGTGAGTAGTAGGGTTGACCTCAAAGGGAGAGTCTTTGAGAAGGGAGAGGCTTGGGGGTCTCACCATCCTGTTTCCCCTTGGCAGTGAGGTTCTACCGGATGACTGCCCGAATTCCAACTCTGCACCTCTGTCCAACTCAACACCTAACCTGGGTAGTCCCGGCCTTAGGGATAGTCCATCTTCCAGTGAGTTGGGAGTGATTGGGGGGGGGCCCCCCTGTGGCTTGCCAGGTTGGGGGGGATTGGTCTGGGTTGGGGGGAGGAGCATTGTCTGGACAACTAGACTGTGCAGGGATGGGGGAGTTTTTGTGTGGCTGGGTAAGGAAGGGCATGTGTGTGCATGTTGGGGGTATTTACAGGTGACAGATATGGAGGGTTGTCTCTGGTTGTCCTGGCTCTAACTTCTTCATCCTGGGGTATTTTCCTGTAGTGGTGTGGGGAGAGGATTATGTGAATGTCTCAGAGAGTACAGAGGTGTCTCTGGGTAAGTGACTATCTGCCCCTGCCACTACCTCCTCCATGTACTTCTCTCTTTCCTTCCCTAACCAACAGGACCCTTCCCCTCTCAGGGTGGAATCCTTCCTCTCCTCCTTCCTTTTCTTTCTCTCCTCCCCCCTTCTTCCCTCTTTTCTACCCTCCCCTCCTCCTTCCCCTGCCCCCTTCCCCTGTACCCTCCCTCTTTCCTTCCCCTCCT